CCGGATGGTTGTCAGGACTTGTTTCTTGTCTTAGGTGAATCAACGCTGAAGAGGATTACTTTGGAGCATTGAAAAGTAAGAGCGAGTCTATTAGTATGCAGTATTTTATATGCAATGTTTTACAGGGTAAACTGTAATTGCATTTCTGCATTCCCTGTGAAGAATAGGTAGGGTACATGGTTTGGGGATCTTTGTTGGTGGCGGAAACCCCGCTCTGCTGTTATCGATAATGGTCATAATGTTTATGTTGCCAGTGGAACGATGCAACGCTGTTTGCCAATATTAGAATAACGATCACCACCAATATTACCACGGAATACACGATACCAGTCACGGGCACCCTCCCAGCTTGCATAAACTTCAGCAAAACTATGAGCGATTACGCAGTAGCTATCCGGCGGCATGTGCTCTGAGCTTTGTCATCCATGGATAAACCTAGGTATGCCAGCCCAGGCTTGACCCCGCAATTTCCAACTTCCCTTACCCCAACCACATCCCAAGCTCCACCGCCCAAGCTTCTTCTATATTGAAGCGCTACCTTCTTCGACCTGAGCGTTGATGCTGCTCAATTCCCTAACATACATTGTCATTATATCTCAATGTTTCCTGGTGCACAGATATCAGTGTAAGCTATCTCTCTGCTCAAACGCTCGTTTCTAATCAATCAATCAGTGCCAGTCAACAAACAACTCGAGCAACAAGACAACCAGCAAGACAACCAGCAATGGGCGGAAACAGCAAGCTTCCACCTACTACCACCTATCCTGCTCTGGTCCATCGTCCTGTTGGGCAGCAGATCAGGAGTATCTACAAAGACCGTCTCCGTCAGTTCACTGACGGAGGTCAATTTTCAGGTCACAACCTCGTTGCGTACGACTCATCCAACTCCCCCTCCTTCGAAGCTCTTAAATGCAATTGGTTGACACTTTCTGTTATTTATTGGCTTATAGGAAATACTATGAGGCCACAAACGACGATGAGCAGCACGTCAAGCTCTCCGTATATTCCCCCCCAAACCTTACCAGGCCCAGCTTCAAAGAGGCCATCTCCAATGAATTCAAACCAACTAAGATCGGAGAATCCTTTGGCCCCAGCTGGTCAACGCACTGGTTCAAGATCCAGCTCACAGTTCCACAGGATATGCTTAAAAAGGAACGGCTTGAGTTCCACTGGGATGCGAACAACGAGGGCATGGTGTGGACGGCGGATGGAAAACCGTTGCAAGGTTTAACTGGTGGCGGGGACAGAGTTGAGTGGATTTTGCCTGATAGTTTCCGAGACGGAAAGGAGCATATCTTCTACATTGAGATGGCCTGCAACGGCATGTTTGGCAATGCTCCTGGTGGAGATTCCATTCAACCTCCGACTCCAAACAAATTCTACCAACTTAAAATGGCAAGGATTACCGCCGTTAACCTGCAGGCCAGGGCGCTTTATTATGATTTCTGGATGATTGGAGGTGTGTATAATCCTCTTTTTTGTAGAAACCAGTGAACAGGTAACTAAATCACTTCTGAAGATGCTGCCCGTGAATTCCCATCAGATTCCTGGCACTCTCACGAGGCACAGCAGGTCGCAAATGCCATTATTGATGCGTTTATCGCAGGCGAAGGCAGCCAAGAATCTATTATCAAGGGTCGCAAAATTGCACAGCAATACCTCGGTGACAAGGTCGATTCTGATGCAGTCTATAAAACTGATAAGCAGCCGATCGTTTACGCCATTGGCCATTGCCACATTGACACTTGCTGGCTCTGGCCTTGGGAAGAGACACGACGGAAGGTGGCTAGATCCTGGTCCAACCAATGCAACTTGATGGATCGCTACCCCGAACACCGTTTTGTCTGCTCTCAAGCTCAACAGTTCAAATGGCTTGAACAAGACTACCCATATGTATTTGATCGTGTCAAATCATGGGTTAAAAAGGGGAGCTTCACGCCCATTGGCGGAAGCTGGGTAGAGCACGATACCAATATGCCAAGTGGAGAGTCCTTGGTTCGTCAGTTCATCTATGGCCAACGATTTTTCGAGAGCCATTTTGGCGAACGATGTACCACCTTTTGGCTGCCAGATACTTTCGGGTACTCATCACAAATCCCTCAGCTCTGTCGATTGGCTGGGATGAGCCGCTTTTTCACTCAGAAACTCAGCTGGAACAATATCAACAACTTCCCGCACACAACTTTTAATTGGGTTGCTTTGGATGGCAGTCAAGTACTCTGCCATATGGCTCCATCGGAAACATATACAGCTGATGCCCACTTTGGAGACGTCCGTCGGAGTGTTACTCAGCACAAGTCGATGGATCAAGATAACACCTCACTTCTTGTCTTTGGGAAAGGAGATGGTGGCGGTGGTCCAACATTTGAGCATCTCGAGAAGCTGCGCAGACTCCGTGGCATGAGTGATAAGGGTGAACTTCTCCCCCGTGTTACAATGGGTTCCAGTGTTGATGATTTCTTTGAGCAACTTGAAGCCAAGGCTGCGAAAGGAACTGAATTCGTCACCTGGTATGGTGAGCTATATTTTGAGCTTCACCGGGGAACTTACACAACGCAGGCCAAAAATAAAATTAACAACAGGAAGTCCGAGTTTGTGCTACGTGACTTGGAGTTGCTTGCGACGCTGGCCAGTCTTAAAGACTCTAACTACAAATATCCCAAGAAGGATATCGATAATATGTGGGAAGGTGTTCTACTTTGCCAATTCCATGACTGCCTTCCGGGAAGCTCGATTGAGATGTGTTATGATGATTCTGACAAAGTATATGCCCAAATATTCGAAACCGCATCGAAAAGAAGAGAAGAGGCATTGCAAGCTCTTGGATTTGGCACTCAGGGCAGTTGCATCGAGCATGGACTGGTAGCCATCAATACCCTTCCCTGGCATCGCTCGGAGATCATCAGAATTAATGATTTTCCGAACTCCTCGGCGCCACCAAGATATGCCCTCGCACAAGGACACATGGGAGTAGTTAACATTCAGCCTCTTACTTCCACACATGAAAACTCTGTTTCTCTGGTGGAAACCAAACCAGGAACCTACCGAATTTCTAATCCCAAACTGTCAATCGAAGTTTCGAATGGTTTAATTACCTCGCTTGTTGATCTAAAGGAGAAAAGGGAAATTATCCCAAAAGGTAACAAGGCTAACCAGCTGGTGATCTTCGACGACAAGCCTATTTACTGGCAAGCCTGGGACGTTGAAGTCTATCATCTTGATTCCCGGAAGGAATTGACGTCCGGTACAACTTCAATTTTGGAATGTACTCCGCAGCGTGTCTCTGTTGTGACGGAAACCAAAATCAGCGATAAGAGTTGGGTAAAAACAACCATCAGTTTAGCCGCTGTCACAGACAGTGATACGCTTCCCTATGTAGAGATTTCCAGCGAGGTCGAGTGGCAGGAATCCATGAAATTCCTCAAGGTCGAATTCCCCGTTGATATTTGGAACACTGAGGCGTCCTATGAATCCCAATACGGGATAACCAGACGACCAACGCACTACAACACCAGGTATGCACCATCATCTTTCCCCCATCTATAAAATCATTTCAAACCATTTACTAATACGCCTCCTTCAGTTGGGACATGGCCAAATTCGAAGTCTGCTGCCACAAATGGGCCGACCTCTCCGAATCCAACTACGGCGTCTCAATCCTCAACGACTCCAAATACGGCTTCGCAACCTGCGGCAATCTTATGCGCCTCTCCCTCCTGCGCGCTCCCAAGGCTCCCGACGCCAATGCAGACATGGGCCGGCACCACTTCCGCTACGCAATCATGCCCCATTCAGGTCCCCTAGACGCCCGTACTATTCGTGCAGGATACAATTTCAACAACCCTATAGTCTCCCAGCTGGCCACCGGTAAAGAAAACGTGCATATCTTCAAAGCTATATCGCTTAAGGGCTCTGACTCCCTGATCCTCGACGTGTTCAAGCGCGGAGAAGATGATGAAGATGTCTCTCTTGGTGAGTTTAAAGTGCGTGCTGGGAAGAGCGTTGTGCTTCGTATCTTTGAGGCGTTGGGGGGCAAGAGCCGTGGGGCAATTGTTACGAATTTGCCAGTTAAGAAGGTGTGGAAGTGCAATTTGCTTGAGGATGATTTAGAGGAGATGAAGATTAGGCAAGGGGGTGATGGGAACAGACTTGGGGCTAGGGAGGAGGTGCAGGTGGATATTGAGCTGAGGGCGTTTGAGGTTGCGACGTATCGGTTGCAGCTTTAGGAGAGACGTGAGTGAGTCGCGGTGGGGAATGGAAAGGAATGAGTGGGGTGGTAATAGTGATGGGTTGATAAAGGAGGATGATGTGTGTTGCTTTTCGTATGGAGTAATTAGTTATTATTATTGCTGGGAAGGGCGCGATTACACGGATTTTTAAAGTGATTTATGGCTTTTCTACTCATTTTGGCTTCGTTAACTACCGCACACCTACCTTTTCCGCCAGTGGCAGCCTAGTGAGAAATAAAGGCATAAAGTTAAATGTTATTAACGCAGGGCAGTGACTGATGCAGTATTAAGATGGGAGCTTGACATGCAACATCCAGACAACAACACGTCTCCACAATCAGCACAAGAACTAGATCGCTAACTAAATATTGTTATCGTTATCACAAGAGAACAAAAACGTGGATGAAAGGAACAACAGAATGCTATGTCATATCTATACATCTTCATAAATGGCACCATAGAAACTCCTCGCCGCCTAAGAAATGACACTGAAAACGGACGTGCAAGTAAGCACGCATCTCACAAATAAACAGATGTATCAATCCCATCTCATTTAGCAATTCTCCCCTCGTTCTTCATTTATTCCCTGCAAATAAAGATCCAATCTCATGCAAAACATTCCAAAATCGAATTCCGAGTCCAACGCCCGCTTTCCCAGTCCCCGCCCCAGCCCTACCAAAAAACTCCCATAACAGGAAACTGAAAATCAACCTACAAAAAATACGACATAAATCTCAACCCAACCCAACTCCAACCAAACACCTCATCAAATCAATCCCGCCCATACGTAATCTTCAACCTCTTAACAGGCTGCTTATTCCCACCACTCTCCGCATCATCGCCATCATCCCTCTCCCTCCCCCTCCCACCAGCAGACTGCCCATCAGCATTGGCATTGGTATTCGTGTTGATGTTCGCGCTCGCATTGCCTGAAGCAGCCTTTTTATTCTTCTTATTACTGCTCGTTCCTCCCTTGATGCTGCTGGGGGCGGAATTATTATTATTGTTATTATTATTAGGTGTATTAGTATCTCTATTAGCGTTTGTGCCGGGGATGGAGGCGGAGGTTGGCGTGGGTGCGTGGGAGGGGGTTGTGTTTGCGCTGGAGGGGGCGGGGGAGTCCTATTTATTTTATGTTAACTTGCTAGTTGGAACAATACGATAAATGAGAGCAGTCAATTGATATGAAAAAAAAAAGACATCAAAGAATGGAAAGAATGGGGGAAAAGAGCCCACCCTCATAAAACTCGCAGAACTCCTCGAAAACACTCTATCGCAATCCTGAACCGCTGTCTTTCTTCGCGTCATCGGACCACCACCACCGGAGCCACCTGCGCCACCGCCAGCCACGGATCCGAGGCTGCTCCCTGTCCCTATTCCGGACACGCCTGATGCGCCTTTTATGTAATTGTCGAATCCCTTTATGATGTTTCCGGCACCGGTTTCTTCGAGGTAGGATTGCTCAAAGCGATAGATTGATTCTTCTAGGGCGGCCTGTGGGTTGTCTGTTCAGATTTCTACTAATGTACCATTGCCATGTGCTATGGAGCAGAGGATATTGAGAAAGGAATAAGGGTGGAGATAGGAGCGGAGGTAGAACGGAAAGCATTGGAAGCGCAGGAAGGAAAATGACTTGGACATACCATATTCTTATCCATCAACCGTTTCTTCTGTATTGTCTCTCTCAGTTCTCGTCTCAGCTTCTCATAATATGGTATCCCGCGATTCTGCATCTGTTCTGGGCCCGAACCAGCGGGGTTGGCGGTGGTGCTATTTTGGCCGGCGGTGGTTGTCGGCGGAACGTTTTCTGCCATGGCGGCAGGAAGTGGATAATATCCAGTATATGTTGGCGCGGGGTATTTTGCGGTTGGGTTTATGCAGATGTAGATGAGTAAAATTGGTGAACGTGGCTAGCAATGGTTTGTGTCTTCTTGTCTAATCCGGGTAAGGGAGATGATATTAAAAAGGAATTGGTGATTCGAAAGGTCAACGATGCGGGAAGATGATTGGCTGGGCTGCTAGTAAATGCGTTAAACTGTATCTATACTAGTGCTGTCCTTATCAGTCAGCAGTCAAATAACTAACGTAATCGGTCACCGAGCGGAGAGCCTCCCACCTCAAACCCAGTCAAATTGCGAAATTAAGCAACCACCAAACTAGAATTTCTGATATAATTTTATATAGATCTATTCCTTAGGTCTGTTGGCAGCTTCTAGCAGTATGATCAAATATATTACACTTGCTGCAGCGTGGCGGAGCTTGCTTTCTAGGCGGCTCGTTTTGAATCCTCTCCCCCCCTTGTACAGTTTGATCAATTGCTTGAGCCCTAGCTATTCCTTCCTCAGCTGTTAGAGCTCCATTCCGAGCTCTAAATATACGACCTTGCTCCTTCTTACGCCTTTTCTTCTCAACTGCACCTCTCAGCTCCTTGTTTTCTTTTGCAAGGATAGAGCCCTAGAAAACCCTCCTTGTCAATATGATTGATCCCTAATCTCATGCAATCCTCAACCCTTCGTCTGTTTGCTCATTGTAAGGGTCCAAAGCAGCTCATATCTAGTGGCTGCAGCAGATGAGATGAACGAGCTGGCATGTAAAAGAGATATAATAGACTTCTCCATGCAGAACTGATCAAATTCGGGCGTGCTGTGACTGCCACGTCCATTCATAATTAATAGCGTTTATCTGGCCAATCATAAGAGCCCTGGTGTGTCTCTCAAAAATCTCCTTGAACCAGATTATACCCAGCTTATCCGTAGTCCAGCCGTTTCACTCTCGGACGACTTAGTCTTCACATAAAGCTCACTCGTAGTTGTATTTGCGTGAGAATCTAGTCTTTAGTTCCTTATGACGTGTAATTAGTCTCTGAACCCATTTTTCTCCCACGGTAGATTCAACTCGGGGTAGAAAGTAGTAAATCCACCATATTTCGTACGTTTTCAATTCGAGGAGGCTGACCTCTCTCATCCATGGGTATTATCCATTGGACTAGAGATTCTTTCTCATATGGAGGTCAGCTTTCTGTTTAAAAAGTTGAGCATTTGAATGTGTTTCGACTCCCTTGATTTGATCGCGTAAGGTGGAACATCGTACATTTTGGCAGCAGTCGTAATATATGAAATTTGATCCATTTTATAGGCCTTAATGGCTAAGAGAAGCCTTCCTTCTTGATTAGAAGCTTGAACTTTTGATTTTGTGGTCATATTTAATGATTTGGTGAATATGAATGGATTTGAATTGGGAAGGGGATCCATTACATTAACTAATAACTAACTAACCTAGTTAACTAGTTAACTAACTAGTTAACTGTTAGTTAACGTAATTGGTAAGTGAGTCAGCCACATAAGCAAGTCAGCCACTTTTCATCTCATCCCAGAACAACATCTTCATCATCAAAAATGTCAACCACACAAAGAAATAAAGCCTCTACTCAGGAAGGAAGGCTTCTTTTAGTCATTCAAGCATTTAAAAATGGTCAAATTTCAAGTGTATGAGCTGCAGCAAAGCTGTATGATGTTTCATATTCCACTCTAGGTGATCAGATACATGGTTGTACAGCACATGTTAACACTCTCTCAAAGAACTGAAAACTTAGTCTTACAGAGGAAGAATCTCTTGTTCAATGGATTCTGACCATGAATGAATGAGGTCAGCCTCCCCAGGTTGTAGCTGTACAAGAAATGGTCAATCTTCTTCTTGCCAGCTGAGAATTCAATCCCTCACCTACAGTGAGTGAATGCTGAGTATGAAACTTTGTCAAGTGTCATGATGAGCTGAAATCCAAGTTCTCATGCAAGTACAATCATCAGTGGGCCTTATGTGAGGATTCTGAGGTTATTCATGAGTGATTTAGACTCATACAAAACATTATTGTGAAATATGAGATTCTAGAAGATGATATCTACAACTTTGATGAGACTGAGTTTCAGATGTGTATAATTGAGACTGTCAGGTTGATGACTGAATCTGAAAGAGCTGGGAATCTCAAGCTTGTACAGCCTGAAGATCAGAAATGAGTGACTGTTATTGCTGAAATCAATGCAACTGGCTGAGCCTTGCATACAATGATTATTCTCAAAGAAAAGATACATCAATCCTGCTGGTACAAGACAGAAGAGCTACCATGTGACTGAGTAATTGAAGTCAGTGAAAATGGCTGGACCACTGACCAGCTGAGCTTATACTGGCTGAAAGAGGTGTTCAACAAGGAGTTTCTACCCTTTATGAAGGGCAGATATCAACTGTTGATTCTAGACTAGCACCAAAGTCATGCCTCAGCTGGATTTGATCAATTTTGTACTGAGAATCAAATCATTGCCCTCTACATGCTGTCACATTCCTCCCATCTTCTTCAGCCATTGGATGTTAGCTACTTCTCACCCCTGAAAACTGCATACAGACAGCAGGTGGAAAATCAGATGTGGCTTGAGATCAATCATATTGACAAGGAGGAGTTTTTGAGTCTCTATCCTACAGCTCAGATGCAGGCCCTGACTGAGAGCAACATCAAGAGCAGCTTTAGGGCTGCTGAGCTGATTCTGTATAATTCTGAGCAGGTTCTCTCACAGCTTAATATCATGATGCATATCCTCACCCTCCCAGGGACCTTCCACAGCTCCCAGGCCTCCTGGGCCATGGTCACACCACATAATATACACCAATTGGAGCAGCAGGCTGAGAAAGTTAAAGGATATATCAAGCATCATATGCAGAGCCCACTCAGTCCAACCAATCATGCCCTAAGTCAGCTGATCAAGAGGTCTCAAATGACAATGCACAGTGCTGCTATTCTAGCAGCTGAAAACAGGGAGTTAAGAACTGCAAATGTCAAACAAAAGAAGAAGTGAGAAAGAGGCCATACATATGTAGCTCAAGAGAGTGCTTTGAGGGTTGAAGAAGACTTGGATCACATATGAAGGGTCAATGAATAAGAGTAGGGGGTAGTTGAGGCTGCTGAGTCACAATCACAAAAATGTGCAGCACCACAGTGTAGTGTATGTGGGATTATTGAGCATACTGCCCATACATGCTCTAAGTGTATAGAAAATAATTTATAATGTAATTTGCTAGTTTTTCTTTATAGTTGAGACTTTGAAGGCATTCTTGTTGTGCAGTGGGGAGGAAAGTGGCCGACTCGCTTATGTGGCCAACTTGCTTATCGATTACGTTAGTTGATGGTATTAGCTAAGCCGACCATGTTTGCCCCGTTTGCAGGTAACTAATCTGCTCAAAGTGCCTCTTGACGTGTAGCTGATCTGCAGCCACAACCAGAAGATAAACAAGAGACACCGCACCAATACAACTAACAGCTCATCCGAAGCACCCCAACCATTGAGCTACTGGCTTTGTTTTTCTAGCTGTCTAGCTGTCTTCAAACGGGGAGAAGATATATAGAGATTGAGTTCCCGCTGAGAATCAAAAACTTCTATAAACCTCATCCATCCATTCTGACACTGCAACATATCATACACCCCTGCTCTGCCAACCACACACCTACCTCATCTCGAAACAATGGACGGCCACGGAGATATGGATATGGGCAGCCAATGCAGTATGAACGTATGTGCATATATCTACCACTCATATACTCTGCAACATCTGTCCCACGTTTAGGCCTCCAGGCACCAAACCCAAGCATTTTAGTTACACAATTCTAACGTAATGAGGTTCCATTTATTTTTTGGGATCTATCAATGACATAGATGCACTTCACCTTCTCCTCACACAATCTCTGTATTATCTTCAAACAATGGCAGATAAAGGGTCCTTTTTCTCTTGTCCTCTCGCTCGTGGCCATTGCACTTCTGACAGCGGGTTATGAGGGTGTTCGTGAGCTTGCTTGCAGGTATGAGGCAAGACATGGGCTGTTATTGAAGGATGGGAGTATCCCCGGGGCGCGGGGTTATACATCCAGTATGCCTTGATTTTTTTTTTTTTTTTTTTTTTTCCTTCTCCTTGTCTTTTTTCCCCCGGCCTTTCTCTCCATCTCTCATCACGATGTAACGGGTAACGGGTAATCCTGGTTAGAAAGGAATTAATTCCTTTCCAACTGTACCCCTTGTTAAACCATCTTCTCTTTCTCCCCAACCACCATCAAAAGATACAATCCAAGAGGTTCAAAATTACCGTTTCTGAGAACAATGAAGATGACGAGACACTGGCCAACAACGACAATGATAACGGCCTTCCCACTTCCAATTCCAATTCCAATTCCCCCCTCCTCCATAACGGCGAAGCATCCAGCTCACTACTCTTCGCAGCGCGAACAAACAGGAGGAGGAGGGGCAAGCTGGTTCTCGCGGCCTTTTATGCCGTTCAAGTTTTCTATAGTTTTATGATTATGTGAGTTTTTTTCTTCATTTTCGCGTGTTTCGTATTATTTTGGTTTTGAGAGTTGCGTTTTTGCTGACACTGGTTATGTGAAGGCTTCTCTTCATGACGTATAATGGCTGGGTTATGCTTGCGGTTACTGCGGGAGCGTTTTTGGGATACTTGATGTTTGGAGGCGCCGCGACGAAGGCGGTTTCCTGCCATTGATTGATTTGCCGGTTGGCTGACTTCTGAGAGAAGGATATTCCTCAGGTCGACTGCTTTCCACCTCTCTTCTTTTATCGTGCGAGTTCCACAGAATGCGACACTATAATTTTAAATATATGTATCAAACATTTCTTAAGTGACAGCCGCGGACTGAATGGCCAATGATGGTGCCAATATATTTTTATCTAATCTATGACAACCACCCAAACCAACTTATATGTCGGACCCCGTCTGCAGTTATGAATGGGGTTATAGCACTACTACTAGTCCTACTTTTACATTTAACATTCTTGAGAAACCTCTCTATTCTATGATATTTTCCATCTATCTATATATATACATCAGTCTAAGAATATATCTCAACCTCTCCAAATCAAGGAACATCAACATCACTTCCATCATCCCCAAACCCAAAACTAAACCCACCTCCTCCACCTTCCTCACCACCTATGCTATCACCACCACCATCCTCACACCTCGTCCCGGTCCCTCTAACAACCTCATCCCACTTTCTCTTCCCCTTCTTCCCCTCCAACCTCCTCTCCACCTCCCTCAATGCCCCCTCCACCAAATCCCCATATCCATCAAGCCCCCTCAACCTCTCCACAAATAACCCAAACGGATCCTCAAACCCCTTTCTAAACCCAGAAACCTGCTCCCTCTTCCCTTTCAAAAATCCCAAGACATCCGCAAGCCTTCCCCTCGGCACGAAATTCTGCGTAATAGCTATACAACACCCACCATCACCACCATCATTAGAAACCGGAATATTAACAACCAAATGCCACCAACCAGATGGAACATGCAACACCTCACCAGCCCCACAAACCCCCTCAACACAGCCCCTCACCTTCCTCGCCTCCTCATGGAAATTCATCAACCATTCCGCAATGCTCAGCGGGCTCGTCACCTCGCTCTGATCCTCAGATACATACACGCCAGGCGGTGGCGGCACCATCGGCGACAAACTGTTATTGTTGCTATTACTGCAATTACCAGCTGATGTCGCTTCAGCGGTGCTGGGGAACATAATCCAGTACTTTGCGCCCCGCAACACTGCGTTCCAGGCACTGGTTGCGTTGGGGTCTTTGTGAAAGGTGCTGCCGCTGCGCGGAGGGCCGATGATTAGCCAGCGGTTGTCTGGGCGGTGTGGGCCTAGATGGGTGAAGAGGTCTTCGGTGAAAGGGGGTGGGGGGGTGTAGGCTGGTTGCTGGGCATGGGTTGTATTTACATTTGCATCTGCGTTTGTTGTGCCGTTGGTGCTGATGCTGGTGCTGGTGGGAGGCATAGACATATGTAATTCCATCTTCTCCACGAAGCTGCGATCAAAAAGATACAGCGGGCTCTCATCTGTGTTATTCCTCATGTACTCCACGTAGTTCCTCAACGACCAATCGACCGCTTCAGCACGGAATATGACGTCGCCGTATCGCTCTAGTAGTCTCTCGATTGACCATTCTTTGTACACGGGCCATTGCTTCACGGGCTCGGTTAGGATGAAGGGCTTATTCGTCCAGGATTCTTGGAAGGATTGTAGGGAGAGGTTGGACAGACGGGGGATTTGGTTACGGGTGGGTATGTTGGTCACGTAGGGTTTTAGGGAGATGTGGGCGCAGTAGAAGGGCCGGTGTAGGGTGTCGGAGTATAGATGGGAGCAGTCGGGGGAGGCGATTAGGTGCGCGGGGAGGTTTAGGTAAGTTGCGTGCCAGGTGCCGCGCCATGTGAAGGATTTAGGGGGGTTGCTGGGAGGGCTTGTCAGCGTATATGGACTTAGAGGTTTGACGCTGCGGGTTTGGTGAGGAATGCCAATGTATACATGGATGGTTTATCTTGCTGTATAGAGCATGTATGAACACAATTGAACCAATTTTCCTCTCCCGTCTTCCTAGCCCTCTCGATATCATGGTTTCTGTAATAGTATATAAAAATGGCCATCCTTCAATAGGATATCAAAGATGGTATTATGCACAGCAGCAAAAAATAAACCCCCAAATGCCACGAAAACAATGAGATATGTACTAAAGACAGATAGGGCATCAAGCGGCTCAAAATAAATGTAAATATATAAACAAAAAACCTACTCAATAAAAAGCCCCTTCCACAACTCCTCGGCCCTCGTAAACGCATACAGTGCCTTACACGTTGCACCCAGACGCAACAACGAGGAGCTATCCAGGCACTCCAGCAGCAGGATGATCAGTTCGTCAGAAAGGACTGCCAGGTTGCCCATAGAATGGCGGATGTTATGAGTGACAGTCAGGGCATTGCCTGAGGGTTTGACACCCAGAGGATGCGGCGGGATTACATCGGCATAGTCGTTGTTATCGATATTGAAATCCTCATGTTCATGTCCATGTTCACCCTCAACCCCAACAGGCAACGACTGAAGAGTCAGGTCTGAAGCCTTGCAAGACTGGGATGATAGATGGTGGCGGCCAGGTTGAGGCGTGGTCATGGCTGTGTGTTTTGAGCTTTGATATTTGGTATCCGATGGTTAGTTTGTCTGAGAGAGTAGATCCATGATCTCGGAAGGACATCGAATAGAAGATAAGAAGTTACAGAGCCCTAACTATTTTAAGCCCGAAGTTCGGTCAAAAGTGGTGATGCTTGGCATGAGATCTCTTAAGAAAAAAAAAAAAAAAAAAAAAAAGGGAACATGACATCAAAATTAAAATTAACATCTCGAAAGTTTGACTTGCAACTAGGAGCTATTTAAGTTAACTAACTACCTGTGAATCAAGAGGCAATGTGGAGATTTGCAGATAACAGTCAGATAGATCAGAACAAGTCCATTTAGCCATTTGCATACCCATCCTCGTACCTAGGATGTATGTAAATAGCTATCCATTTCGACATCCAGAGAGGTTATCTCCTTTTTTTTTCTCTCCCGATTTTTTCATCTTCCGTGTTTCAACAGTTCCGCATTCAATTTGCGCAGGGTTCGCTCTCTTCCGTGGTTGGGCTTCAGTTCAGTCCCGCATTTCACCCTCCCTCACTAGGCTGGAAAACTCTTTGATTAGGAAGAGGGAAGGATAAAAAGAAAAGAAAAAAGTAAGAGAGTTAAACCCAAAAAAGTCAGCCAACTTTTTTTTTTTTCCTTCCATCTTTTTTTCTTCTTCCTTTTTTCTTCTTTTCTTTACATCCACAACCTAAACTTCATCCCAACCACACAACAACACAACCACCAGTATTAAAATCCCATCTATTCCATCGATCTGCCATTAGGACATTAGTATATCTCTGTCCCCCGGCCCCTTTTCAGCAGCTACTACTAGTCCCTGCTGTACCCTCCTCTTTTCTAGAGTATAGATTCTAGTATCCTTTTTTTTTTTTTTTTTTTTTCACCGACAAAAGCAAGGATCCTTAGGCCCTTCGTTTTTTTCCTTTCTCTTCTACATCATCCCATCCCTCATTCACTCATCACCACGATCACAGCTACGGTCTGTGATCTCCAAAGAACAACTTCGCAATCATGGCTTCCAACGATAAGGGTCTCGAAGAGATCCCTGAAGGTACGTTCGCTCGTCACCCCGCACTGTTGTCGTCGTGGTCGTCTTACCATTGTGTGCCCTTTTCCGCGACTTCGCTGCACTTCCTGATGTCCCAGCAACGGATTTCCTCTGTTGTATTTCATTTTCAGTTCTCTTCTTTTTTCGTTTTCTTTTTCGTTTTCTTTTTTGCCATCATGTCCGCATCTGGTGGGACGATGCATTTGTATAGTGAAACCAGACGTTACCCGATGTCCTGTTGAAAACCTTATCACTAACAAACAACTGTCAACAGGACAAATCGAATCCAACTATGATGAAATCACTGACTCCTTCGATGCGATGAACCTCCGCGCTGAGCTTCTCCGCGGTGTCTATGCCTACGGTTTCGAGCGCCCCTCTGCCATCCAGCAGCGCGCTATCATGCCCGTCATCAAGGGTGTGTAGAAATTTAAAATTATACTTAGTTACCCCCCACACACACACTTGGTTCCCACAAATAGCCCTCCAGAATCCAGACTAATAATAACGACCGATGCAGGCTCCGATGTCATCGCCCAAGCTCAGTCCGGAACCGGCAAGACTGCTACCTTCTCCATCTCCGCGCTGCAGAAGGTTGACACCAACCTCAAGGCCTGCCAGGCACTGATCCTTGCCCCCACCCGTGAGCTGGCCCAGCAGATCCAGAAAGTCGTTGTTGCCATTGGTGACTTCATGAGCATCGAGTGCCACGCTTGTATCGGTGGTATCTCCGTGCGTGATGATATGAAGGCCCTCCAGGAGGGTCCCCAGGTTGTCGTGGGAACGCCCGGCCGTGTTCATGATATGATTCAGCGCCGTGTGTTGAAGACCGATCACATGAAAATGTTCGTTTTGGATGAGGCTGATGAGATGCTTTCTGTAAGTATATACACTGACATCTTTCGATACTCATCACTGTTATACTTGTGTTATATTTTGTTAACAAGTCGCCAGCATGGTTTCACCGAGCAAATTTACGACATCTTCCAATTCCTCCCCCAATCCACTCAAGTCGTCCTCCTCTCTGCCACAATGCCCCAGGACGTCCTCGAAGTCACCACCAAATTCATGCGCGATCCTGTCCGCATCCTTGTCAAGAAAGCTGAATTGACCCTCGAAGGTATCAAGCAGTTCTACATCGCCGTCGAAAAGGAGGAATGGAAGCTCGACACTCTCTCCGACCTTTACGAAACTGTCACCATTACCCAGGCAGTCATCTTCTGCAACACCCGGAGAAAGGTCGACTGGCTCACTGACAAATTGACCGCGAGAGACTTCACTGTCTCCGCTATGCACGGTGATATGGAGCAGAGCCAGCGTGACGTTATCATGAAGGAGTTCCGCTCTGGCTCATCGCGTGTACTCATCGCTACTGACTTGCTTGCCCGTGGTATTGATGTCCAGCAGGTTTCGTTGGTTATCAACTATGACTTGCCCGCTAACCGCGAGAATTACATCCATCGCATTGGTCGTGGTGGTCGATTTGGCCGGAAAGGTGTTGCTATTAACTTCGTTACCGCTGATGATGTACGGATGATGAGGGAGATTGAGCAATTTTACAGCACCCAGATTGAGGAGATGCCCATGAACGTTGCTGGTATGTGTTAACAAACACTCCCTTTGCCTCTTTTCCTGACAAGCACTAACAATGTACACCCAGATCTCATCTAAACGCAGCAAACGAACTGAAAACTTTACTTTTCTCCCTCGCCTGTCTCTTTACTCTGTCCTATCCGCTATGATGATCCCTTTCTCTCAAAGAGAACCTCGGGTGTGCCTTAATGTCTCTTGACGTTTCTTCAAACACATTTTCCAAAGTTAACCGCAACCGCAAACAACAACCCTCACCCCCCAACGGTTCGTTTCAATGGTAGTGGATGAAGAAGCAAATTTGACAGATTAAAGATTTCGAATTCTGTTTCCTGTTTACCTCCCAGTGTTCCCCCGTTTTGCTCCCGCGCCCACACCACCTGTTTCCCACACCATACTTGTCTTTTAAAGCAAAAGCGTATTCCTCTATCGTTGGGTTTCATCGTGATAACTTTGTTTTCTTTTAATTTTCCCTTCTATGGCTCTATGGTTGGCTGGCATGATGGGATGCAAAAAATTCTCCTTATTTCCCCTTTTCTTTTTCTATTTTTATTTTTTTATCAAGCGCTTTGGCATAGGGTAAAACACAAGGCAAAACATGTACAGCATACCAAATCGGGATGAGAATGCTGGGCTTGTTTTTCATGTGACTGCTTCCTTTTGCTTGCTTCGTGAGATTATTTATCTTCCTTAAAAAAAAGAACCCTAAAGAGACTGCTCTGTATGTTGGACTCGGGTCTTGTTTTACTTTCTCCCCCCCTTGTGTCCTTGTCCTGTGTGCTCCCTTTTTCCTTGCCTAACTGTGGTTTTGATGTCCTTAGTCGCCTTCTTTTTATCTCTTACTCTCCATATGTTCCCTCTATTTGTCCACATTATGAGTTCTCTAAATTCCAGTTTCCAATTCTTTTTATTCTTTCCCTTTTTTACCTCGTCTCCTATTTTCGCAGACGGTTGTATGGCACGTAGGTTCTTCTTTTATACATCGTCCTTTCATGCTTGTGATATGTGGTGTGATTGCATAAAAGATAACTATTCTAAATTGTTTTTGTGTCATATATGATATCCCCCCCTTCTCTTCCTCATTTTTGTGGGAAGGATTCGGTTGGGGATGCTGGGTAATGTGCATGTGTGGACTCCATGGAGGTTTTGTTGGTGATAAAAAGAGGTCGTGCATGGGCATCTGTTCTCAAGATACCGGTGAGTGAGAAGGTTAGAGGGCACTTTCGAGTCAGAAGATGTTTACGATGATGTAACATGAGGGACAAGATGGAGTGAGCAGAACCAAGGGGTCAACAGGGCTCTTTTGAATCTGTTGGCCCTTTCGAGTTCCTCTAGACATGATTCTTGCGTTACCGACCAGGTGGTTCAAAAGGATACCAACCATGTCTAGAATTGCCTGCGTTTTTCTCATCATCTTTCTTCCTTTTGTTAAACTTAATGAGAAGGATTCCATTCCTTCTTCGCTTTCAGAATGTTAATCCGTGATTAATATTCAAAACTTTTGCTGTCTCTCTCCGTTTAAGCCCTGACACTTTTGCTGCAGGCATTTGATTTGCTCAAGAAAATGGTTTCCCCCTTTTTGGCTTCTGCGTATTTCTTCAAATCTCTCCCTGCTAGATACAAAGAGCAAAGCCAAAAATAAAAAGTCCTTAATATGATGAGTTGAAGCGGAGCGCTTGTTTTCCATACATGGGATTCAGGAAATGGGGGCAGTGTATGGTGTTCAACCCATATACCGAGGGAGACACCTCGAGGGAGCAGACGACTTGACACGAGTTGGGCAAGCAACTCCCTAACTGCTCACCACCCATCACTCATCTGGCCAGCGTATGATATACCCGCCCATTTCTCGCAAGTGTGTAACCGCAGAAGCGAGAGAGGTATTCTCAAGACTTTCTCTAGCAATTCACAGCATTTCACGTGGACTATATGTATACATGGATTGACGACATTGCCTGTCCGTCGTTGAGCGAGCCTCGACAGCTCTACCTATCATTATCGAGAAAATTGCTCCATTCTTTTTTCAGACTTGCTATTCGCGTCCGCATTCACTGTATCAATCATTAATTCCTTATTTACACCGGGTTCGTTCCCTTACTCGTCAATTCTATGACGACACGGGGCTCCATCGACCCTGTTCTTACGTCTACATCTACATCTAGAACGCGTCAAACACAAGCTGCCAACTCCCATCCACTTATTATCATCATATCAGACATTCCTACATGTGAATAGTGTTAGCTGTGGACACAATGAACCCACCTCCACCTCCAGCCCTAAATCCAAGCTCAGCTCTCAATCCCACTTCCTCTCCCAACCCAAACCCCAATCCACCTGCAACCTTCTCCCCCACCTCCCTTCTCTGGGCCCACCAACTTCGTCGTGAACACAATGTCCTAGTCTCCCGCCTGGACGCGCTGGAGAGGACCCTGACATCTACTTCCGCTAAGCTGACTACAAGGACAGATGCGTTGAAAGATGAATTGGGAACGAGACTAACGGGACTTGAGGGCTTGGTTGCCGTGGTTCAGGGGGGTTTGGATGGCGCTAGAGTGGATGTAAAGGGGATTATAAGGGATGTTGAAGAGGTAAGAGGAGACGTTGAGGGATTGGAAGGGTGGAAGGGTGCGGTTGAGGGGAGGGAGAGGGAGAGGGACGAAAGGGAAAAGGTTGGTGAGGAAGGGAGAAGGATAGATGTGGAGGAGAGGGAAAAAGGGAGGGAGATGATTGAGGGTGTGGAGAAGGGATTGAGAGAGGTTATGGCGGAGATTAAGGAGTTGAAGGGGATTGTGGAGGAGTTGAGGAGGGAGAGGGATGGGAGTGGGAGGGGGAGGAAGAGCGAGAGGGAGGGGGAGGGGGAGGGGGGGGGGGGGGATTAACAGAGAACCCGAACCCCGACAGGGAAAGGGGAAAGAAGAAAGGGGTGGAGTTTTCTTTTTTATTCCCATCTTTTTTAAGATCCGGTCTTCCCTGCCATGACGTTTACGTATATGTCCATCCACACCCCACAATCCAAGGCTAACATACATCGACCGAAGCACCTCACATTCCTTGCTCCTATCCCAATCTCACCACAAACTTTCGGGACGACACCCAACAACACCGCTCCTCCTCGTTACCACCAATATCCTCCTATCATCGGTACATCCATCAACACAGACAGCATCAACCAATGCCCTCCACAATCTCCGGCACACCGACGGCCTCCCACCTCCCAACCTCAGCATTAACCCGCAGCTCTCCCCCACCGCAATCGCACCAACCACAAACACAACCAGAGTACTCAGCCGTCCTCGTCCCAGACTCAATCCCACCAGCACCCCCGACATCCCCCACTGAACCGCACTTATCACTCATAACTCACCCCTCGGAGAAATTGGAAATGGAATATGAATATCCCATGTCAGCAGGAGCACGAGAACGGACTGGTGCAGGCACTATAATACCAACCCTGCGCCAGAGACCTAGTGAATCACTCCATTCCTATTTGGAACGTGGGGAAGCTGTGTTGGCGCGGTTTCCGCGTCAGGAGGAGAATAGAGTTGTGCTGGCTTTTTGGGGAGGAGTTAGGGATGGGGAGTTTAGGGGGATGTTGGAGGAGGGGCTGAAGACCGGGGGGTGGAGGTGGGAGGTTGTTAGGGGGCTAATTTTGGAGAAGACGGGAAGGGGGGTTTGGGAGGAGAGGGATAGAGTTTGTGGTATCAGTAACAACGGGGTTGATAGCTGTGGGGATATAGCTGTGCCTAGGGTTGGGGTTAGGGTTGTCAAAAAAAGGAAGATGAAGGTGAAGAGGAGGAGGAGGGTTATACCTGTTATTTGGCCGGTTGAGGAGGAAGGGGAGGTGGGAGAGGTGGGAGAGGAGGGAGAGGAGGGAGAGGAAGGGGGATGGTTTGTGATACGGAATGGGTTGACTTAATAATCATTATAAATATCCAAGGCTGGAGGGCTAGGTGAGCCGATAAGGTCTATAATTCTATGATCCCATGTCCACTTATTTATCCCGAAATGGGTATATCCTTTCTATAAACCAAAAATCCTATACACGCATGCACGCAGAAGCATACTATCCCAAATGAAAAAGAAAAGAAAGGTAATTCAAAAAATCCAACTCTAAAACCCTGCAAACTCAAATCTCCCCTCCGTCCTATCCCTAACCTCCACCTCAATCCCTCCCTCCTCAACCTCAACCCCATCCACCTCAATACCCGCCTTCATCACCTGGCCTCCCACCACCTCTCCCACCCCCTTAGGCGTGCCCGTCAGCACCAAATCCCCCGGCTCAAGTGTCATCACGCTCGAGATATCCGCCAACTGCCTCGGGATACGGTACAGCATTAGGTTCGTATTATCGCGTTGGCACAGCTGGCCGTCAACAGAGAGGTGGAGGGTTGCGTTGTGTGGGTCTGTGATACGGGATTTGGGAATTAATGAGGAGATGGGGAGAAAGGTGTCGAAGCCCTTTGCGATGGACCAGGGGAGGCCGGCTTTTTTGGCGGAGTCTTGGATGTTGCGGGCTGTTAGGTCGATGGCGAGGGCGTAGGCTGTAGGTTTTAGGCTGGGTTAGCTGTGCGTGTGTGTTATTTAGACGTATAGATATGTATGTCATGTGTTTCAATTGAGGGCGCATTCTCTAGTCACCCCGTACGTACCTGATATAGCATCCAATGCATACCGTTCGTCCAATGGGTCAAGGTCACGTAAAGTCTTGCCAATTACGAGTGCCAATTCGACTTCATAATGTAATTTCACGCCCTTGGGCCGCAGGACGGGACCGGAGTTTGGGGGTAGGATGGATGTGGACGGTTTGAGGAAGAAGAAGGGTTGTTTAGGGCGGACATTGTTGAGCTCCGTAATGTGGTCCCTGTCCTTGTAGATGTTTGCGTTAGTGATCAATACGGTATGGCGCATGGGATTTGTAGTTGCAAATGGAATTGGAATGTTGTGCGTTGGAGACGCAGGAGGGGCTTGACGCACGCATAGTTCCGGCCTATGCATATTACCTTCCGGCAATTGGCACGGATGGATGCCATTGATTGCTTTAGTATATATCCCCTAATGAATTGCTTATTTGCTTGTCCGGTGCTAAAGGATATAGAGGGAGTATCATTGTCCGAGGGCGTGTTTTCATTCCATCATGGGCGTAGTCGGCACTCTTTCCGGCTATCCCATGCCTGCAATTAGAGGTTGATGTTCGGGGAGCTGCATCACGTGACTGTAACTGGAGCGGGCTTGGCAACGTATCGACGGGACAACATCACTTCTTCGAAAGATATTCATTCGTATACGGAGTACGAACACCTACTGCAATATTAGAATATTGGTCAATTCAAAGCAGAATCTCTAACTTTCAATATGCCAATGAGGGTCGCCGAAATTCTATCAGATCTGACATCTCTGAGAGTCTGTGTAAGTAATACCCTCTGTCAACCACCTTCTTTCACGTATCGACTGCAGCCAAATCTCTCTGTCCGCGACCCAGCTGACATTCTCTGTCTTCATATTGCTGATAGGAACATCCTGAGGCACTAGTTCTTGTCAACGTCCACAAGACTCTTCCCAACTCAGAGACAGATCACCAACAACATACGCAGCATTCTCGTAATAATAATGCCCAATCCGAAGATTTGCGACGTGCCCAAGATCTCATCGAACTGCATAATGATGTCATGTTGAAGCAGCTGAATAGACCGGGAGGCGGGTTAAATGAAGAGCTCCGAAAGGCTAGACAGGATGTTGATCGTGTGCTACGGGAGTTGGATAGATGAGGGAAACCACGGGGGAAGCTGGTTCGAACATGCCATTTCCGAAGATAGTGATGAGAATTGACTATTTGAGGGAAAACTAGCATATAAGAGATCAAGATTTCATTGGCTTATGGGTGAAGATTAGTATCTCATTTGAATTATGGGATTTTAGACCAACGTCCGATGCTGCCATGAATTACACAAGTCAAAGTCCAGAGCGTTGATTAACAGATTGAGCCTTTGCGTGGACCTAATGGAGTTCAGAGGTCGGCTAATTGGATAGATATGTCGAGTCATATCCAATTGAAGTTGGTAAAGAAGAATGTGGCCTTCTTTAAAGAGCTGACAATAAGACGGTTGCTCAAGTTCCCTTTGGGATAGATGATAGGGACATTCATAGGGTCATCACATCGTATTACTGATAGTTAGCTTGCCGTAACCGGGACCAATAGGAAAAATTAAATCAAGAAGCGCATAGGAAACGATCCTCGTAATCTTCTCTCTTCAATTCCATGATTCTTTGTATCTCCCTTTTACTCCTGTGCATGAATTCTTTCTTTCCGCCATTGAAATTATCACGTGATCACTATTTGCCGGCTGCATGTTATTCCGGCTCCAGAAACTCCAGCGCACCAAGTCGACTACTGAAATCGAAGCTTGAACCAACAACGTTTAGCCGTTGCTCAGCCAGTCCAGCAAGTCCAGCCGTGAACAGCACCAGCACCAGCCTTAACCGCAAACTAAATATTTATATGCGGTGACTGCTGCTCACCATGGCGACCACTGTGGAAGCAAAGTTAAGACGGCAGACCAAGTTCCCGCCGGAGTTTGCTGAAAAGGTGGATATGACAAAGGTCAACATCGAGGTTATGAAAAAGTGAGTCCAACTTCCTTTTTAGTTTGTTTGGCGTTGAGCTTGTTCCTTGGATGGGGAAAAGATTGCTGACCATATCTCCGGCAGATGGATCGCTGGCAAAATATCCGGAATCCTGGGGAATGAGGATGATGTGGTCATCGAGTTATGTTTTAATTTGCTGGAGGGGTCGCGCTTTGTAAGTTAGATCTAGTCTTAATCTTAAGCTGAAAGGACCAGACAAGGTGACATGATTTGACCTTCAACATATTTACTAACTGATCCTATTGTTTTATTTTTTAGCCAGATATCAAGCTTCTACAAATACAGCTCACCGGATTTTTAGACAAGGACACTCCCAAGTTCTGTAAGGAACTCTGGAATCTATGCCTCAGCGCACAAACCAGTCCACTAGGCGTGCCCAAAGAGCTATTGGAGGCTAAGAAACAGGAATTGAAACAAGAAAAAGTGATTGACCCCAAAATCGAACGGGACACAAAGCTTTAAGTAGCATCACATGCTAACATACGAGTAGCTCGAATCCGAACGACAGGCCGAAGAAGCTAGGCGGAGGAGGGAAGAAGAGAGGATGCGCGAGCGTGAATTGGAAGTGCTGCGGCAGCGGGAACGTGCCGAACGTGGTCGTGGAGGTGGCAGGGATCGATGGGGTGATAGAGACGCCCGTTCACCACCCCGGCGGAGGAGCCTGGACAGATTTCGTGACGGGCCCGCCCGGCGCAAAGCAGATACTTGGGCTCCCTCGGGAGGTAGAAGTTCGCGCTGGGCGGAAGATCGCGGTCGATGCACCTCTAGGCCAATATCCCTATCTCCATCCAGATCTACGTCTCGTTCCTCACCGTCCCCATCTCCGCACAGGAAGAGCCGTGGTCGTCACCGGCCACACACACGGCGTCGGCGATCACTAAGTAGTTCCCGTTCGTCGGATAGGAGGGATCTCAAGAGGAGAAGAAGACGTAGCCCTGATCGTGATGACGATCGTACTAGATCCAGTTCTATGAGTAGATCAGATCGCTCACGTTCTCGTTCTCCCAGAAGACACAGGAGAAGATCCCCCATCCACAATGACCGCAGCATGTCGCGCTCCCGCTCCCCCGTCTCCGAGAAATAGTCGCTATCAGCGCCATCCACCTTCGATCTCTCGATCCCGATCCCGATCCCGATCCTCATCTCGCCGCAGATCACGATCACGCACTCGAGGGAAAGTTGAAAAACGCAGTGAGAAGGGGGGACGCTGGAAAAGATCACCATCATACAATGCTAAAAATGATAGAAAAGGTGAATCACGAGCTGATAATGTTGGCAAGGACCATCTGTTGAAATCCCGCGAGGATCGTCGTCGCCTAAGTCGCAGTCGCAGTCGTAGTCGCAGCCGAAGTAAACATAGGCACAGCCGCCACCGCCGTCGAAGGAGCCCAAGCAGAAGTCGAAGCATATCTCGCTCCCACTCTCGTTCTCGTTCTCGCAGCCCATTCCGCGATTGTGAACGGGAACGTGAACTTGGCCGTTGTCGCTCCCGCAGCCCTGTACGGCGTGAACACAAGGGTGACAGGAAGAGGCACCAGTCTATTGAAAGATATGCCCCAGCTGCTAGAAGACGCCGTAATAAGAGCGCTTCGGCTTCCCCACCTCTTCCCGTTGAGAAACGGCAAGTGATGGCCGATTCACATGAAAGAGACAAAAGAGAAGACGAGGATGCAGCAATGAAACGATCATCCACTTCTCCTGGCCTTCGTAACGGAGGTTTGGAACTGAAGGAGAAGGAGGATGGGAAAGTGAAGGAAAACGAGAAGGAGAAAGCTATGAACACTGACGAGGTTGGTAGCTGAAGCCCTTTTTTATATATTTTTTAGCCGGCGGTGAAAGTGGACGGAGAACTCATGTTCGTGATGGAATCCCCCACCCCTTTTCTAGTCTGCTTTTCCCCCCTCTATAGCTAGTTAATTTAAATTCCTAACTCTCTTTTACACTTCGCGTTTAGAAGCCAGCCCAGCCCTTGAAAGCCCGTTTAACGGGTACGGAGCTACGTGAGAGACTAGCGCGGGAGAAAGTTAAGGCATTGCGCCGAGAAAGCGCAGAGGTGAAGGCGAATGCTTCGCAAACAGAGTAAGTTTATATACATAGTTTGGAGCTGCAATAGTCGCTCTAGACTTCCTTTTGAGCTACATTTCGGGTATGGATGAAGATACGAAATTGCCATGTCATGTCATGTCAATCCTCCAGCAATACTTGCTTCTAGGACATGATCTTTCTTGATCCGTTTTTACAGTTCGATTTTCCTTGCGGCATCAACGATTCTGATTTCGGGGTCTTCTGTTGTTCAAATTCTGTTTTAATTACAAGCCTTCACATTCTATTTTGCTTTCCCGATCAGGAGCATCAAAAATACCTGAAGACGGACTCCAGTCATAAAAATATAAGATATGGGGAAATTGGTCATAACGCGCAGGGTGACATCTCGTAAACTTCAATTCTGGTTCCCTTCTGCTTCCTGTGGATGGGTTGCTCTACTGCGGAAGTGGTTAGTCTCAGAAACCCACTGGATTAATGGAAGTTTCCCCCCCTGATTCATGGTTTTACAGCATGGATGGGTAACTATATATTGGTTGGTGGAATCCGTTACATGATCCTTTGGTCAAGATAGGGTAAAAACTGCCCTGCACGATACCTACCCATCTCCTAACGATCGCGTCAAATAAACCAAATTCGTACTCACGGGCTAAATTACTACATAGTGATGTCAGCGTTTCCGCTTACGTAGGTATATATAGCACACCAATTTCCACGGTTCTTCCGGTCGCGTTCCATCGCAAAGGCGCGTTGTCATGGAAACGGTGTTGACGGTAGCACGTGATGCAGCTCCAACCAACTTCTAGATTTCCGCTCATCCCAATCCATATATCCTCAAGCTACCATGACATGACCGCATACGACAACCCCAAACATCCTCTCTACAACTCCCAGCAAGAGTGGATGCGTTATGCATTATCGATATGGCAGCCACGGCCACCTCAACCCCACTCCAAACTGCTTTGCCATACGGCAACAGCTTCCAACACCCGGCGTCGCGACTTCAACAGCTACCTCGATCAACAACCTCTCGATCCCTTTCCAACCATGCATCGCCAAATACAGTTACAGCAGCACCCACATTTAACACTGGTCTATTCCAGATGTCAAGGCCACGATCCTTTTCCATTGGAGACAGCTCCGACGACGATATTCCCGAACCCATTAAATTTAGCGCATCCGTCAAGGCACTTCTGGGAGAGGAAGACGGATCGAACATTGACACCTCCCAGCACACTGGAGGCTGCATAAATAAGTCGCCAAATGAAGGCATAAGCGTAAATAGCGAACAACACCGGGCTTTGCTAATTCGAAAACCACAAGAGAGACAAGTACGGATTGCGTCGCCAAGGGAACGTGATCTGGGAAGCCCACCTCCTAGGGTCGTGAGGGTGAATTCGCCTCGACTTTCACAAAGCGGCTTAGGTAGAGACAGTCCCCAATTGGTGCGGAAGGACAAAAATTCGTCCGATGGCCAACAACAACAACATCATCATCATCATCATCATCATCATCATCATCATCATGGTAATGATTTCATTACCCCTGCTGCCCCTCAAACCAGAGTGGTGCGGGTTACGGATTCTAGGAGGAACTCCCGTTCCCCATCTACAGTGTCTTCCATTGTCACTAGGTCGAGTGAAAAGTCATCCAAGGAAGGTGGGAGTCGTCTCGGGGACCGTTCGTTTTCTGGTGATGAACGTCGACGCGATGAAAACGTGTATCGATCCGGTTCTGTTAATGTGCTTCGACCACATCCTGGTGAAGAGACGGGAATGCAAAGCTCATTACGAGTCAAAAGAGTTGGTAGATTGACGGGGTCGTTTCTTAATGGACCGGCCCGTCGTGGTATGATTAGGAGGCAGAGCGAGGAAGTTCATCAGGAGGAGCCAGTATACGAATCGCCGACTTCGAATGTCAGTCCTCGGTTTAATGGAGAAAAGCATCAACAGCAACAACAACAACAACAACAACAACAACCAAGAGAATTTGAACCTCTCCGTAATCGTGAGCAATTTATTGAAAAATCTCAACAATACCCCAGACCCTCAGAAAATCTCAGTGGCTCACCACTTCCCATACAAGCGCCAAAACGACTACCTGATCCAGAGATACCAGCCGACGACGCGTTTTTAAGATCCAGCACGCCGAAACCGTCACGTTCAAAATCGAGATCTCCTCTATCATTAGAACTGAAGGGATCATCGCGATCCACGAAAGAAGTACCAGCTTTCTATCAAGTGCCTCCTTTCCCACCCAGGCCTGCCAGCCGAAATCAAGAGAATGACCCACCTCCAACTTTCAAAAGATCCAAATCTCAGGGCTTCGGTCTCCTTGATAAGGCGGAAAAGTTCTCTGTTGTATACGCTGATGAGAAGGAGCCAGTTAAGCCGGTGCAAACAATTCTCACTCCCCGTAGGCCTCTAGCCCCCAAGGATAACAACACTCCCCATAGACCGGCCCCACCCCCTCCAAAAATGAGCGTTTTGGAAACAGCAACTGCACCCGCAGGAGCCAACTCATCCCAGGCTCGACGGAAACGTGTACAGGTTACCATCAATCGCAAGCCTTTTACCAGATTAGACTGCATCGGGCGAGGCGGTAGCTCCAAAGTATATCGTGTTATGGCTGAGAATTGTAAAATATTCGCATTAAAACGAGTCAATTTGGAAGACGTTGACCCCATTGCAATGGCTGGGTACAAGGGAGAGATTGATTTGCTTAAGAGGCTCGAAAATGTGGATCGGGTGGTGCGACTTTTTGATTATGAGGTGAATGAGGAAAAACAGGCGCTCAGCGTCCTGATGGAAATTGGCGAGTCAGATCTTTACAGAATCCTTACTCTTCGTCTCAATGCGGAGGACGCGGTGTTTGACACTGCGTTTACGAGATATTACTGGAAAGAAATGCTCGAGTGTGTTCAAGCCGTTCACGAGTTTGGCATTGTTCATTCGGATCTCAAACCTGCAAATTTTGTCCTGGTCAAGGGAAGCCTCAAACTCATTGACTTTGGCATTGCAAATAAGATCCAAGATGATACCGTCAACGTCCACCGCGAGCAACAAATCGGTACGCCAAACTACATGGCTCCCGAGTCTCTGATCGACATCAACGCCACAAACGGCCTGCCATCCACCGTTGGAAAGATGATGAAAGTCGGCAAACCGAGCGATGTCTGGAGTCTAGGCTGCATCCTTTACCAAATGGTCTACGGCAAACCACCCTTTGCACATATCACCAAGCCGCTCGAACGCATAATGGCCATTCCAAATCCCAACGTCATTATCGAATACCCTGCTTACGGTGTTGGTGGTGTCCCTGTGCCGCCGGGACTCATCAAGACGCTGAAACGCTGCCTGCAGCGGGATCAAACTCTCCGACCGACGGTACAGGAATTGTTGGCTCAGCGAGATCCTTTCCTGTATCCCGAAGCCAATTTGGAGGGCGCCGTGCCCATGACGCAGGAGATGTTGGGGAGGATCTTGACGAATGTTGTCAACCACTGTAGGGCTAGAGGCCCGCCGAAGGATGAAGAATTGGCTGGGTGGCCGGCTGGGTTTTTTGGGAAGATAAGATCTGCACTTGAAGAGGATGCGCTCTGATTGGGCTTTTTTTTTTTTTTTTTCTTTGGTCACTGAACCATTCTGGCTTTCTTTACTATTTTCTTAACTATCTTATATCTGGCTGTGGGCTTGGAATCTTTCTATTTCTAACTTCTTTAGCACGGGTTGATGCCTTGGAGAAATGGGTGCCTCTCTCTCTCTCTCTCCATGTGGTTATTGGTCTTTCTTGGCTGTATACTATTTTCCCTTGGATTGGGGATATCTTTTCATTATTGGCTTTCTTCATTTGCTGCGTTTCAGCGTTGTTTTATTGGCGGTCACTGCATGCCGCTTCTGGACTCTGTGTGTTGCAAACAACTTTTTTGGGATATAACTTTCCTTCGCTGTTTCGATTACCTCGAAATTATACCTGTTGGCACACGTGAAAGTCGTTCTCTTTTGCTTTAACAGATTACTGATGTGTATATGACCATCTACTCTATGATCCCAGCATATGCGATTGTGGTTCTTCTGGCGTGATTTCTATAACGGATAAGGGAATTTGTCAACCATGTCTGACCGATTTGTATCTTTTCCTATTTCAACGTGGATATCTCAATTGGTGTTTTAAATTTCTACTTGAAGGATTAAGCCTGCGTAATAGGAGGGATATGGTGGTTAAGTATAAATTTCTATATCATGGAACCCGGACAGCTGAACAAAACGCCTTAATCAGCTTGGAAATAATATACAATCAAGTAATCCTCCCATCCTTGTCACGCCCTTATTTTTATTTGTCCATAGCCAAGGACAAAAATATCACTCCTTGCTCCCCTGACCCTCCGCTTCTTCATCCACAATCTGCGCCCCTTCCCTAATCAATTCATCCACACCCTTAACCTTAACATCTACGACCCTCAAAATCGTATACTTATGCTTGCTCTTCACCCGTCTCACATGTCTCTGTCTCCGCTTGGTCTTCTCCTTGATGCGCAGCGGCTCAGCCTCGGTCCCGATAACCCTTACCCGACATTCGAACAGCCGCTCATCAACATACGGCGCCCCTTTCAGGGTGAAGTCTCGAGATCCAATTACGGACGCCCGATTGAAACGGAGGATGTCACCTGGTTGCACATTGGGCATGAGGAATGGGAGGCGCAGTGTGTCGCCGGGTGTTAAAAGGTAGGGCCGGGCGTGGAGGTGGGCGGTGATGTAGTGTGGCGTTTGTGTGGTGAGGTAGGGGAGGAGAGAGGTTAGGGATGGGGTGAGAGTTAGGGGTTTCGTGAAGGTGGGTGGGATGGGGAGCTTGTTGGGTGGGATTGTCGGCGTGGTGGACGTTGATGTGGATGTGGATGAGGATGAGCTGTCTAGGATGGACAATTCTGCTTGTGATGGAATGGCAGCTTCGGAAGGTTGTGATATGCTCTGCTCATCTGCGTTTATCGACGGAGTCTGTGGAGGTATCTCGGGAGGTGTCGAATGGAAAGGAATTGCTGAGGATTGATGCATACATGCCTCTCGAATGGATGGGAGGATCGAGGGCATCCACCGGATGTCCAGAGCGGTGCGGAGGGTAGATCTCGCAAACATGATTGCTGGTGGCGTGTGGAAATGTTCTCGGTAAAGTAGGCGTAGATAGATAACAGAACTTGGTGTTCTGTCAGTTGTTGAGGGGCGTCCTCCCCCTACGAGATATTTATTTAACTACCAAATGATCTTTTGTCGCTTTTTTTTTTTTTTTTTTCGAGAAATTGTTGAAAATCAAATTTAGATGCCGCAAATGAATGACCGTTTCAGTTACCGTAGCAGTCACGTGCATATGGTATTATGTAATTGTAATCGATATTAATTGGAACCTCAACTTTTTCTTTAAATGAGGAACGGGGAATGTCAGCAGCTGAAGCCGCTGAGATATAGAACGGGCTTCGGTTTCCGTTTTTAAAATGCCTCAGAACGAGTTTGTCTATCCCTCATCCACTGGCGCTGCTTGGATTTGTAGCCAAATCTGCTAACGAAACCATCAGGTATATCGAACGGTGGCAGAAGCAGCACGGGAAGCGGTATGTGGATAAGCCCCGTCAAGCATATGGAGGTGACTCTGTATATCTGATGCCACAAACTGATATCTTTTCTTCTTCTTGACACAGCCTTGATCATGAAGAACGCACACGCAAGCGCCTAGCCCGCGAATCCCACAAGCAGTCGCACGATGCGCAAAGCTTCCGCGGCCTGCGGGCCAAGCTATATCAGAAGAAACGCCATGCGGAGAAGATCCAGATGAAGAAACGGATCCGGGCGCAAGAGGAGAAAAATGTCAAATCTGCTGGGCCCAACGAGCCTTCATCCACACCTCTCCCCAACTACCTCCTCGACAGGTCCCAGGAGACAAATGCGAAGTCTCTGTCAAGCGCGATTAAAAATAAGCGTGCGGAGAAGGCCGCCCAATTCTCTGTACCTTTGCCAAAAGTTAAGGGTATAAGCGAAGAGGAGATGTTCAAAGTCGTCAATACAGGCAAGAAAACTCACAAAAAGTCGTGGAAACGTATGATTACCAAACCTACTTTTGTTGGAAATGACTTCACGCGAAGACCCGTCAAGTATGAGCGCTTTATTCGGCCGATGGGTCTACGATATAAGAAAGCGAATGTTACGCACCCGAAACTCGGCGTCACAGTGCAGCTGCCGATCATCAGCGTTAAGAAAAATCCTCAGAGCCCCATGTATACGCAACTGGGAGTTTTGACGAAGGGAACCATTATCGAAGTCAATGTTAGTGAACTGGGCCAAGTCACGGCCAGTGGGAAGGTTGTTTGGGGAAAGCTGGCACAGATTACCAACAACAGCGAAAACGATGGATGTGTCAATGCGTAAGTGTTTCATTTCTTTTATCTTCGTTTTATCCTTTCTACTTTGGGCGCATTGCGGCCCATTCCTTTCTCCACTTCGCTTATTGACGACATTTAAAAAAAAAAAAAAAAAAAAAAAACCCAATAGCGTACTTCTGGTCTAAACACTCTATATCTTTCTGCACTTTAACCTGCAACGGCCTACTTTTTTTTTATTTCTGGTATTTACCCTCATGAATGGGTGAAATATAGCCATCGGCTACCACCGCACTTTGACCCTCAGAAGCCGCTTTTCCTCTCGGAAAGGAATAAGCATCGGGTCACATCGACCAGAAGCGAAAACATGAGATACCTGGCGGAATTCTTTCGATTATTAGAAATGGGGTTCGGCGAAATAGATCAAGGAACTAAAAATATTGCAAGATTTTCGTTATTTTCATCTTCTGTTTTAACTTCTCATAGCATGGGTGGGTATAGGTTTTGTTGTTAATTGGGCTATTGCCCCTCTCTCATATTATAATTTCTAGTTTATTCCATTTGTATCGTCTATGCTGAGTGAAATTTTCGTCTATTTTCCAGGTCGACATCATGGCATTACAAAGAAGTTTCTTGGGTAGGCCTGTAGTAGCAGTAGAGATGAATCGTTGTGGAATACTTCAATAGAACCATGTTCCAGGGACTTGGTCTAGGAACACTTCCTGAAGATAAGGCAGCGAGGAGAGATAGAGCAAGTTTATTGTTAAGCTGTACGAGATATTCTCAGAAAATACTCTGTCATTTTAATATTCTGGTACGTATCAAATCTTCCTCGAGTCTATACAAGGCCCAGCCGCACAAACACACTCCTGTATAAAATCTATGTTTAAAGCAAGAATGATGCAAAAATTAAGAAGCGACTTCAATCTCAAAATAATATTGTCATCTCCTACCCGTCCATCCACCCACATAAGTCTTCTTCCCCCTATCACCTCTGAATCCCCATTCGCCGTCTTCCTGAACTCTCTCTCTCGCCCTCCATTGAAGCTGCCGGCGACGCCAGCCCCGAAACAACAGATGACAACGATCCAGATCTCGCATCGTTGACATTAAATCCAACATTGGTGCTCCGATTCCTGTTCCTAGACCGGTTCTGATTCGAATTACTGGTATTCTGACCCACAGACTCCCCAGAGCTTTGTAACATCGGACTGTTCCCGCTGGTAGTTGCTCCGCTCCTTTGGCCCCGATTTGGGGCCGGACCACGTCCTCCGTTATGATATTGGCGGCGATTGCGCCAACTACCTCTCCTAGTCGCACCGGCACCAGTCCTGGCAACCTGATTTGGATCTGGCCACTGACGTTGCGGACAGACGTCCTCAGGATACTGGTCGGAGGAAACTGAGTTCTCATCCTCTCCTTCCCTTTCTTCCATCACTCCCTCCTCAACCTGTTCTTCATACATCTCCACACTATCTTCCGGCTCCGGATCACCATCTAACCGCTCATCATCCTCGACAATAGTAACGATATCTCCAGTCACATTGGGAAGGGTGTTGACTCTATCCATTCTCTTCTGCGGCACAGCAGAGCCACCACCCCCTACCCCACCACCTTCATCTACCACCACCTCCTCCAACGCCCTCTTCGGCGGCACATTTCTCAACAAACACATTCCCACATCCAACCCTTCAATTGCTCCAACTAAAAACTCGGCGTCCTTACAACTAACACTAAGAGTCCACCGATACTCCCCCAATCGCATCCGATAGAACTCCTCCTCCTCCCACGTCTCTGCGGTAGCCCTAAGCAGAATGCCAAAGGAGCTAATTAGCGCGAAATTCGTGCGAGATGCAGAGGGCCAAAAGGACCGCAAGTGCGCGGGCCGCAGGCGATTGACGAAGTCCATAGCTGAGATTAGTCGGGTCTTTGCTGCTGAGCGGCAGATGTGTGAGAGATAAGGGTCTGCTGAATCCGGACCTAGCGAGCGGATTATGGTTCTGTGCAGGGTTATTTCGGTCGCGAAGTAGGCGAGATGGAGGCCGCCGTTGAAGTTGACGTTGGCAGGGTCTGGGTTATCTGTGTTTGTACTTGTACATGTGGAACTGGTGCTTCCGCTCTGAGGATAATAGCAGAGCTGGTGTTGGTGATTTTCCATTTTCAATTCATTGGGTAGCTGTACGAACCACTCCTTCAGCCGGATTTGGATAGGTTTTGCGCGTTCAAGGATAATGCGGGTGCGTTGTGATCCTGCAGAGGCAAACTCGGAGGTTGCTTGCAGCGTGTAGAAGGTATTGAGGATTTCAGAGAGAATGGCAGTTAGTGTGACGAAGCGACAGAAGAGAAGGGTGCCCGATCCCACAGCAGAAGTATCCTGGTAGTTGATGTGGTCGTTGTTGTTGTTGTTGTTGTTGCTGCTGCTGCTGCTGCTGTTTCTTATTGGATAGGCGTCCGCAAAGTCCTCCGGCGTTAATTCCTGTACTGTCCAGTTTGTGGCGAAGATATGTGAAGGACGACCGTGGACGAGCGCACACCATTTATCCTGCACATAGAGGGCCCAGGCCAGCCGTTTGCGCAGTCCCTTCTCCCACCCAGAGGTGTTCCAGCTGCTGCAGTCCTGGTGAAGGCCTAGGTCAAACCCGGCGGTCACGAGCTGCGCTATTAGCGCTGGATTGTTTAAAGTTGATCTCTGAGAGAGTAGCAAACCTGCTTGGAGAGTTGATATGTGTGGCTGTCCGACCGATTCGTTAAATAACCGAGTAGCCATCGTTTCCAGTCGAGTTGCATCTGGTGTCCGTAATGTCTGCACAGCGGCACCCGACATCCCAAAGCTTGCAATAGTCGCTGGATCCAACCACTTCAATGCGACAAAATATACCGCAGCCAACAGCACAGGGGACATGTTTCGTCTAGTCTGATACAGGTGACGAAATGAATTTTCTATTAACACGGGGAAAACTGGGTGAGCGTGCTGGAAAAACTTGTCGACGAGTATTGGGCCAAAAGGGCTGACAAGGTTGTCGATGGCTTCGACAGAGATAGTGTAGGACTCTTGTCGGGAGCCGTCGAACATGCGCATAAATGTACCGTCATCGGCAAATTTTCGCACGCGCGAAGTTGCCAGAGGACTTTCGTTGTTGCGGTCGAGGGTGAGGTAGTTGAGAAGGAGAGGTTCGAGCTCTGTAGTCATGCCAATGTACTGGCTTGTCTGAAAGGAGTAGTCATCAGAAATGAAGTTAGAGGTTGCCGCTGCTGATGTTGCTGCGGAGTGGGGGTTGGGATGTTTGTGAAAAATAGAATCAGGCATAGCAGCCGCTGACATCGGGGAAGGGGGTTGCTCGAGGATCGGCCTGCAGTATATTTAGACGGGTTTGTGGTATAAATATGTGACATGAGGACTTCGTAATATCAAATGGGGAGACGGAAAAGCCAAGTTGTATCGGTCAATGAAAATTAAAACGCACCGCTTTAAGCCACCCTGGTCCTCATCGCCAGTCCCCGCTACAAACTCGACTGGAAGTTTTCTTTTGCCCAGGTGGCTCTGAACCTGAGCTTGAGATTGATCTTGAGCCTGCTGAGCTTGCTGCACCTGTGCCGAGTACATGAATGTGCAATCCTGGAGATAGAATTCGCACAAGAAGCACTTATTAACTGACTCGTTCATGGCACATCTGCTATTCCTCCTGTAGCAAGCATCACAAATGGAACTGGACGATAGAGAAGCTGGACTCCTGATAGGAGTCGTTTTTGCTGCTGCTGCTGCTGTTG